CTCTTGGGCTACTCTTTTACCAACGAATAGTGGGATTGACCATCACATTATAACGCTGAAAGGGCGAGCATGTTTGGTGGAACGGGAATTCGAACCCGCGAACCGCAGATTGCGAGTCGAGCACCCTAACCACCTGGCCATGCCGGGGCCCGCAAGAGAGAGAGAGAGAGAAAAAAAAGATTTTGCGATCATTCTGTTACTCTTTTCAATAAACAATTCAGAAAGAAAATCAGAATTAATAGACGACATCCAGTAAATCATGTTTTCAACAATTTATTTACAAGGTGAAACCATACAAATTACTGTCACTACCAATCACACAACACGTTTATAACAATAAATCACTTACATACTATATATATATTTGTGTGTCTGTGTGATTTAAAACATGGTCAAAAAAATTGGCGGCCCTCAAATAAGATAGAAAAATAAGGCTACATCACAAGTTAAAAACTATAAAATTGAAGTGGTTGGTTGTATCCTTATAGGAGCAGTATCATAAGAAGTAGGACATCAACGTGGTTTACTTCTATTGCTTGAAATAACAAATCATAGAATGGAAGTTCATACGTTTTTTTTTTTATAAATTTTAGAGTTGTTTTAACTATCAAGTTTTGATTATAGACTCTATAAAGAAATGTGTAATTCACAATATCGATAAACTCGACTTTTACGTGAGTTTAACATAATTAACTGTAATTGAATAAACAAACGAAAAATACATTTATTAAAGACTTTGCACAATGTTATACCGATACATTTTTTTTTCAAATTGACTCTCTCGTTAACCCTAACATGAGGCTTAGCTAACGTGCAACTTGGTCTGAAATGTTTTGCTTTTTGTCCCCCTAGTGGATCAGCGGTAAGTTTACAACGCTAGAATCAGGGGTTCGATTTTCCATGGTGAATAGAGTGCAGACAGCCTATTGCGCAGTTTTGCAGTTTAACGAAAGAAGTAAAAAATTTACTTGTTGATATGCAGTTTATACTAATATGCGTAAACGATGTATTTATGATTTTTTTTTAAATTAAAGCTAAAGCTAATTCTCTAATTAGCAATAAGTATATACAGATATACAATCATAACAACATTTATAATCGAAACTTCCCCTTAAGCAAAAAAAAAGAAAAAGATTCTACGATTTTGTACTAAAATTGACTGAAAGAAAGGTTAAAAAAAGGTTTACGGTATAATTCCATAGATCTGAAATGTGTTGTCTAACATTCGTTACAGCGATTATCCTACTTTTATTTCCCCCTTTCAGAATACCCTAGTATACTTAAGCGATCTACTAACCTCTCCCCACACACACACTATACACTTTAAACGAGCGTTTTTTTTTTTGTTCTAATGATGAAGAGAGGCTTAAGACAGCTGATGTGTTTCTAGTTATAGTGACTTGTCAAATGTTTAAGGTTAGCATTTTTCGATTGCCTTAAGCATTTTGAAGAAACAATGGTAATATTCATTACCTGTTCAAGTGTTCGCTTACCTAAAAGGTTTGGCTGGCTAGTGTTGCTACTGATTAGAGGATTTCTTGCCAGACTACACACTCACTTTTAATCCCGAAATTCATAATATCCAAAACAGCGAGGATCTTATTATTCACAGTTTATCTTCTTAACATCATATATTTTCCCCTGAAAGATAAGCCCAAAATAATAGGAACAATAATTTTTTTTCTCTAGTGACATGACATTTATAACGCTCTTAAACGAGCGGTTTCCAAACTAGGGTTCACGAGATGGTCTTAGAGGAAGGTGCATAAGTAGAAATTCTATTTTATCCTAGATATATATATCGATTGTGGGTCCAATTACATTCCACAGAATAGTCAAACAAACACAACTAAAAATAACGTACGTTTATCTTTAATTGTACTTTTTTTTTACTATATTGTATTAATTACGTACTGGGTCTGTTGTACCCAAGTTGTCAGAAGAGTTCCAGGTTTAAAAACGTCTTCTCTCACACCGGACAAGAAAATATTTTCAATGATAATTTTATTTATCGAAATAAATATGACTACACAGCCTTGTTTATACTTGAGATGTTTTTTATCTTTAAAGAATGAACTACAGTGGAAGAAGAGACCTCGGATTGGTTATTAGATGGAAGCCTCAGTCAGAGTGCCTAAGGCCTTAAAAGGTTTCAAAATAAAAAAATAAGCTTGGGAACCTCTGCTTTAAACGACGCAAACGATGAAGACCTATACATTTTACGTCTCCGAAACTGGAGGTTGTTTAGGCTTTTATGTCTCCAGGGGTTTTGATTTTACGTAGTAATTCCTGAAATCCTATATAGCGAGATGGATCATTTGATCCCTGAACACCTCTGGTTTATTTAAACCAAAACACCTATCAATATCAAACAGCCTTAATCGACGTCTGTATCGACCACAAATGTATTTATTCTAAAGAAAAACTTTGTTAGCTTACTAACTTCTTTCTCGTCCACCAGTGGCTAAGCGATAAGCCTCGAGGACCTATAAGGCTATAAAAAAATCAGGCTTCGAAACTCGCAGTGGGCAGATCATTGGTAGCCTATCATGTAGGATTCTGCTTAACCACAAACAAAAGTTTATTGACAATATAATTATCAACAAACTCTTCGACTCCATGACTTCTACATTTACAACCCCTATAATGTAAAATTTAAAAAGATCCATCCTTTTTCTCTTCCCCCAAGAAATCAGCTAAGCCTATATATTTTAACATAATATAAACTAATTATGTCAACAAAATGTTTCTTGGTTTGATCTCTGAATCTGCAATTACTTGTTACTGCAGCCAAGTAAAAAAAACAGTCAACTTCTTCATAGATCGGTTAAGAAAGTTCTGGCAAACTAATCAAATGTTAAACTAGAATAAATCCACTTACTATATATTAGTAATTTCATATTATTAAATTAAGATTGTTGTAACTAATTAGACATTTAAAGTATTGTGACATGCGATTTAAGTACTTTAAAATGAAGTTTCGAATCAATTTGATTATTTGTTCAAAAGTTTATAGCTAACCTTTCTTAGAAAGTATAATAAAACTTAACAACTTTACATCACCTCAATTGTAAATTTTCCAGTAAGTCTTATCACTAATCCCGCCGACTTAAATCTACTTAATTCCATGTTGTTCTTATTTTTTTAATCTTAAAACAAATTCTTTGAAATGCTGTTTATTTATTAGGAGTCGCTCGGATATCCGAGATGTCAGTCACATTCGAAAGTGCACAAACAAGTTGACTTTGTATTTAACATACCCCATGTTTTATGTTTGTTTCTTTAAAAGAAATATGTTCAATATAAATATTTCAATATATTTTAAAATTCAGTAAATAGCATTGCAATATTTTTATTGTTCCGGGTCTATATAAAAAAAAGGCAGTATCTTACTTGTTTCTTACGTCACAATAACATTCAGTAAAGCCGACATAGCGTCCCCAACACTTTCTTTCCTATTCAGACACTTACAATATTGTGTATTTAAACACGGGTTGGAGGAAGGCTTACGATTGACTCTTATTTCATTCTGTACAAGACATACATTGAACATGTAACTGTAGTGGTTTGACTAGCTTAGAGGCTACAGTCATATTAATATTGGCACAGAAGTTATGCTTTTAAATGCTGAGGTGGTATTTGAAATACTTTATTTGGTTATTACAAAAAAAAAGTTTTTTGAGATAGACCATCATATATTGTGTTACATGAATTATTCAATTCTTTTCCTGGGCTCGAGAAAACATATTGTGTACTTTGGCAAGACTACTACCCATGACACTTGTCGCGTTGGATGCTGATGACATCACAGAAGGCCACGCAGTGCGTGCAGGTGCAGCCTCCGATTCGCCAGCGCCACTGATGCTCACGACATTACCCATGTTAATAGACGAACGTCTAGGCATGCGCGATCTTGTATAAGGTGAGGGCTTGATGGTATTTGTATAAGGACATACTTCAATGACGGGATCGTTGGTCCACAGCTTCTGTAAAATTAATTAATTATTTTTAATGAGCAAATATCATTTAGTGAAATAATTAAAGTTTTTTCTAGATTACCACAGATCATAATACAGTTCAAATTATGTTCATAAACAAAATATATAATATATAAAGCTTTTGAGACTTATCATATACAACCAGAAAATTACAAATCCCCAATTGTACTAAATGAAATCATAGTTTAAGAATGAAAATTAGAAATTTTGTTGCCTAAAACTGTTGACTGATCATCGTGAAGGTTCGGGTGGTGTGGATAAACATAAATTCCACGAGCCGCTGTATCTATTTGCAGGTTAACAGTTGCCTAAAACTGTTGACTGATATCGTGAGGGTTCGGGTGGTGTGGATAAACATAAATTCCACGAGCCGCTGTACCTATTTGCAGATTAACAGTGACACCAGTACCATTAGCACTAACACAACAAATTCTAATTTACTGATCAACCAACGATCTCATTTCTCAGGGTGTGAATGAGGAAGTACCAAAACGTACTGACCAGATAATTACCGTCCGGTAAAAATCACGTTCTGGCCAGAGTAACTTCTTCCTATTTTAATGTACGCTAGAGCAACTAAACACAATTCAGAAATCTGTGGCTGTTTGTTCACACCTACATATTCCTGTTAATCGACTTATTTTTACTTAATGATAAAACAAAACACGAACGTGATAACAGGAAGCATTTATTGAACGTTCCGGAATCTTCAAACTTCCATCATCAGTAATCTAGAGGTAGAAAACAAACAAACAATATTTGTAATTACAACAGAGTATATGATATACAGTGCCTTGCAGAAGTATTCACCCCCTTCTGTACAATTTCCGCATTTTGTTGCCGTCTGAGCTTGCAATCAGGAAACTTTCAAAAGGGACTTTATATTTAGAATCTACACAATCTACTCCAAACTGCGAAAACACGCTGATATTATGTAAGTAAGTTAGATCTTCAAAGAAAATTCGACTATTCTCAATTGAATAAGTATTCAACCGCTTTGCTACGGCAACTCTAAGCTGGCTTGTATGGGCGAGTTGTAAGAAAGAGAAGCCATTACTGAAAAAAGGATGATCTTTAATCTCGTATGGAGTTTGCGACAAGGCATGTAAACGATACTGAAGATATGTGGCAGAAAGTTTTGTGGTCAGACGAAACAAAAACTAAGTTTTTTGGTCTAAATTCAAAGTGTTACGTCTGGCGCAATCCCTCCCAACACAGCACATCACCCAGTCAACATCATCCAAACTGTCAAGCATGGTGGTTGCAGCATCATGTTATGGGGGATGCTTCTCATTAGCAGCGACTGGGAAGCTTGTCGGGATTAAGGGGGAGATGGAATGATGAAAAATACAGGAAAATCCTAGAGGAAAACCTGCTTGAATTTAAAGCTGGGTCGAAAAGTTACATTTCACCAGGACAATGACCCGAAAAACAAGACCAAAGCCACACTGGAGTGGTTTTAAAAGAATAAAGTGGATGTCCTGCAGTGACCCAGTCAAAGTCCTTACTTGAATCCAATGGTACATTTATGGCGAAAATGGAAGATTGCAGTCCATCAACGAGCCCCAACGAACTTGTCAGAATTACACCACCTCATTGTGTAAAGCTAGTAGAGACGTATCCAAAAAAACTCACAGCAGTAGTTGATGTCAAAGGTGCCTCCACCAAGTACTGACTTAGGGGACTGAATACTTATACAATCAGCAAATTTCAATTTCATATATTTTCTTTGCAGGTTTTGCTGACATTCAACCTTCTTCACACATAACAGTGTTAAGTTTGATCATTAGAGTTTTGAATAAAAACAAGTTCATTAAATAATTGTTTACATTATTTGTATTTCTCCAAAATGTGACGTTATTGGTAGGAGGTGAATATTTTTGTAAGGCACTGTAAGTAAGAAGTAACCAATTCTTTTTTTGTAGTTAATCACAAAGCTACACAATGGGCTATCTGTGCCATGCCCACCACGGGTATCGAAACCCGGTTACTAGCGTTGTAAGCCCGCAGACGTACAGCTGTCCCACTGGGGCGTGACCTACATTTTTACAGGCACTCATTGTCCTTTTTACTCGTTAGAATCTTTCTACAGAAAGATTTGAAATATTTTTTGTGTATATATTTCGAACTGTCTCAAATTTTGGATTTTTGCACTGATAACAATGGGTTTCATGCTCCTGATCTCATAACAATGAGTTTTCATGCTCCTGATCTGATAACAATGGGTTTTCATGCTCTCGATTATGTATATTCAACGTCATCCCTCCAGGTCGGACATTCTTTTCCTTGTCTACTGCCACATAAAATTTTTTCCAGTGTCTGGAACCAATATAAGCAATATAAAACACGAGAGCTCCCTTATCACGAAACAGTTGAAAAAAAATTATGTAACTCTTACTGTTCTCAAATTGACCTGAAAGTTATTATGACCCAATTTCAGATTAAACTTTTTTTTTCCGCTACAAAGATCGTTTGCTGACTGCCCATTGTTCACATTTCGTCTACTTATACACGTGCGGAGACTGTAAGGCCTCCTATATTGGTGAAATGAAACGTCACCTTAAAGTACGAACATGTGAACACATGGGCATATCTATAAAAACTGGATGAAAGGTTACAAAACCCTCCCAACTCCGCTACCTATCAACTCAATACAGAAACAGGACATCCGATTTTTCTCTCAAACTTTAAACTTTTCTCAATAACCAAACATAATACTGAACTTCTTATAAAAGAAACATAAAAACTATTCTCCCGTCCCTAAATAACACACAGTCTTCACTGGATTACTGATGATGTAATATTGAAGATTCTGAAACTTTAATAAGTGCTTCCTGTTACTACGTTCGAGTTTTGCTTTATCACTACATATTCCTTTATTCACTTCGATACGGCACATAATTCATAATTTAATTTACGCTGGGGCAATTAAATACGCTTCAGAAGGCTGTATCTGTTTGTTCACACCTACGTATTCCTATAGCCAGTTCGATACGGTGCTTAAACTGAAGAATGAAAACGATATGTCTAGAATTTTCTTACCTTATATGATATAATATGTATCTATATATATATACATGTACAGCTATCTAAAAATAACATGCATCATGAACAGAAACACCCCACCCCCACCCCCAGATGCACGCACACTAAAGAAATTCTGGCGACATTCATGAGCTGTGAGGAAAATTATTATAACTTTAAATAAAATATTTCCTTTTTTTTGTTTTTTTTCTAAGATACTCTGTCTATTTCCACTTTGCTTATTATTCGTACATAAGCAACTTTTTTTTATCACATCCTTTTGTTTAACTTATGTAGTCAGTCTTACTTCCATTCCTTCTTTGGTCCACTTGAGAACGGCTTCGTCGTCACCATAGCAACCAGCACAACTTATTATCGCAGGTCCTTCTTCACATCTGAATAATTTAGACAATTTACTTTCTTTAATCATGACAGTGTAAAACCAAAGACTTCGAAAAAAAAATATCAAAGTAACGCCGAATTGCTTTATGTTTAAACCTTATTTTCACGTGTCACGTTATTAGAATTAGGCCTAAAAAAAATCAAGATAAAAGTCAATTTATAATAAAGTTCGTGTCTAAAACACTTGAAGATTGAAAAGTTGAGAAAAAATTAACAACAACTTTGAATAAAGATTACGAATTACAATAACTAAAATCTTTACAGATATACTTCCAAACATAATATATTGTAACTGTTCAATTAACAGACTCTTCCAGCTCCAGAAACGTACAATAAAAGGTTTCACCAGAAAAAAAATAAAAAAAATATATATATATGTTCCTTTCTTTGATCAATAGTTTTGTTTGTTTATTTTTAAGCCGTTGTTGTTTGTTATTAAGCCCAAAGCTACGCAAAGGGCTATTTGTTCTCTGCCCATCACGGGTATCGAAACCCAGTTTTTACGAGTATAAGTCCGCAGACATACCAATGTGCCACTGAGGGGCGATTTTTAAACCCAAAGCTACACAAGAAGCCATCCGAGTTGTGCTCTCTCTGAGTATCGAATCCCGATTTTGAGCGTTATAAGCCTTCAAACTTAACGCTGAGCCACGGAGAGGGGTGTATAATAAGTTCTTTCAACGTTTTAATCTTGTGATATTTTCAACCTAAAAGACAGTATATGTGACCCCTAAGGTTCACGTATAGTCATCCATAAATTTGAACGACTGACCAGAGGCCCCCCTCCCTCCCAGTGACAAAGCGGTGTGTCTTCGGACTCATACCGCTATAAACTGGGTTTCGATACTTGTGGTGGGCATAGCACAGATAGCCCATTGTGTAGCTTTGTGCTTGACTACAAACAAAATTACCAGAGGAGGGCCAGCCTCTCATCAGTACCAGCAACCAGCTTTGAAATGAATAACGAGGTTAACTGTTACGTCTATAATGCACACACACTGCTGAAAGTGCGGAACATACTTATCAAAATCGTAGCACGAACCTCGGACCTTCTGATCCACAGCCAGGCACACTAACTTGTTAATAGGTATATTCTGAGCACAAAAATTATAACTCTAGATTCAACTCAATAAAGAATAATAATAATTCAATCGGTTTACAGCGTATAGCGTCAAAATATGACAGATCTATAAGAAACCACTATTAGATAAAACACCAAGTGACAGTACAAGACTTTATAAAACATTAGTGTGCTAAACACTGAAAAGTATTTCCACTGAGAAACCAACAAGTCTTCCCTTTCCCGTGGAGTTTTCGGGTTACTTTCTCATCTTCTTAATGTACTTATTAGATGTTTTGTTGGAGACAATTTCTACTTTATTTTTAATTGTCATGTTGTTTACGTATATTTCCGTCTATCGTTATGTTCAGCTATATACCAGTGGCACAGCGGTATGTCTGCGGAATTACAACGCTAGAAACCGGGTTTCGATACCCGTGGTGGGCAGAGTACGGATAGCCTATTGTGTAGCTTTGTGCTTAACTTCAAACAAACAAACAAGCCTCCTGGTGTATATATTATAATATTACTTAGGCTTTGCTTGTCCTGAATATGCACGCGCACATTTCATTTCAACGAATGTAAACAAAAGGCGGATGTAAATATACTTTTTGGTTTGTTATGAATTTCGCGAACGAATAGTGGGATTGACCATCACATTATAACACACCCACGGCTGAAAGGGCAAGCATGTTTGGTGGGACGGGGATTCGAACCCGCGACCCACAGATTGCGAGTTCGAGCGCCATAACCACCTGGCCAGGCCGGGTCCCCACATCATTCATCTCCCATAGTACTTTTCATACAAATATGGAAAGTATTCTTAAAAGGAAATATTGTTGTTGTTTATGGATGAAGGAATTCCGACGAGGACACTTACTTCGTCACTTGCAAACATCGTATTGTTGGCAAATTATTTATAAAATAAGGAGGATGGAATTCCGACGAGGACACTTACTTCGTCACTTGCAAACATCGTATTGTTGGCAAATTATTTATAGAATAAGGAGGATGGAATTCCGACGAGGACACTTACTTCGTCACTTGCAAACATCGTATTGTTGGCAAATTATTTATAGAATAAAGATGGTGGAATTCCGACGAGGACACTTACTTCGTCACTTGCAAACATCGTATTGTTGGCAAATTATTTATAGAATAAAGATGGTGGAATTGAGATGAGGACACTTACTTCGTCAGTTGCAAACATCGTATTGTTGGTAAATTATTTATAGAATAAGGAGGATGGAATTTTGATGAGGACACTTACTCCGTCACTTGCAAACATCGTAATATTGGCAAATTATTTATAGAATAAGGAGGTTGGAATTTTGATGAGGACACTTACTTCGTCACTTGCAAACATCGTATTGTTGGTAAATTATTTATAGAATAAGGAGGATGGAATTTTGATGAGGACACTTACTTCGTCACTTGCAAACATCGTATTGTTGGTAAATTATTTATAGAATAAGGAGGATGGAATTGAGATGAGGACACTTACTTCGTCACTTGCAAACATCGTATTGTTGGTAAATTATTTATAGAATAAGGAGGATGGAATTTTGATGAGGACACTTACTTCGTCACTTGCAAACATCGTATTGTTGGTAAATTATTTATAGAATAAGGAGGATGGAATTTTGATGAGGACACTTACTTCGTCACTTGCAAACATCGTATTGTTGGTAAATTATTTATAGAATAAGGA